AGCGATCCTCCCGCCTCAGCCTCCCAGATTGCTAGGATTACAGGTGTGAGCCACCACGCCCAGCTGTCAGCTACTTTTAATAGGACCACTTTGAAAATGCTGTTTATGCGTCGAAACTGTGTTCTCTGACCAAACTTATCATCTGTATCACACACCACCTACCTTGTCAGCTGGAGAGAAGCTCCAAAGGGTGGAAGAGTCAGACTGAAAGTTGTATGATGAAGCTTAGCCATTTGCTTTGCCATTGAAACCATAAAATATGCACCCTTGTGATAAAGGGAATAAGAAATGTCAAGAGCAACATTTTCTCAAGTGCAAGACCTGCACCTCTGGTGGTGAGCAAAACAGTTCACGAGCTACTCAGTTGGCATTCAAGGTTAGCGGGCATAGAGAAAGTGCTCCCTGTTTAATTCTCATTCAAGCTTTGTGATCAAATCAAGAACAAAGCCTCAGCGGGTACTAGACTCTCTTTAACTCTTCTCTAACTCTTGCTACTCTGCTTTTACCAAAGAAAGAGGACAGGTCTTAGGCTCAGATCTTTTAGCAAGCAACAGATTTTATCCAGAATTTAATGTTATATTTTTCATTGACTTGTTTTTACAGTAACCTGTGATTTGTGGCAAGCATTATGGTATTCTTTTTTATAGAAGCACTATAAAGTTGCCTTTAAAAATATTTATCAAATTTTAAGAGTGAATCAATTTGAAGGAAATTATCCATTAAGTAGTAGTATAAAATAGTAGAAGCAGTGGCCGGATATTGAAAAAATTATAAAAGTGATGCAAGAATGCCTAAAGTTTAGGAAATACAGGTGTGGTACAAAAGCATTTGCTCAGGAGCCTCAAGATCTGCGTGATCTATGCATTCCCCCCTCACCTGACTCCTTGCTACCCACGCTCCAAGCCTGGCAAGGCACTTTCCCACCGTAGGCCATAAGGGGAGTAGGCAAGGTGGGTTTTAAAGTCCCTGTCAATGTTGACAGATTATGACTCTATATTTACAGTTTTCGTCTATTGAGTGTATAACCAAAGCTATTAAACTTATATAAAGGATGGTTAAACATGCTGTATAATGTAACTGAAGCTTTTCCTACAGAAGCCATCACTGAAATTCAGGGTAGAGGGTGCTTGTCCTGCAAAGTATGTCTCCTTTCTGTTTCAGAGACCTACTACTGCTTTGGTTTGTAGCTTAAGTTGTGTTCCACAGACTTAGTGATAATTGAAGCTAAGTGATAGTGATAGTTAGCTAGTGATATGAGGCATCTACTATATGCACCATGGTAAGAATTTTATAAAGTATTTATATATATCTACCTTATACATTATATCAAGGGTGGCACAGGATGCAGATTTTGCCCTGTCCACGTTTTCTGTGATAGCCTAGTTGGTCTCTCTTAAGAGTATGGAAACTACAGTTTATCTTGTCTTCTGTTTCAGGGAACAGCGAGGGTTTCTTCAACATCGATGCCCTACTAGGCGTCATCACTCTAGCCCAGAAACTTGATAGGGCAAATCATGCCCAGCATACCCTGACAGTGAAGGCAGAAGATCAAGGCTCCCCGCAGTGGCATGACCTGGCTACGGTGACCATTCATGTCCACCCCTCTGATAGCAGTGCTCCCATCTTTTCAAAAACTGAGTACTTCGTGGAGATCCCTGAATCAATCCCTATTGGTTCCCCAATTCTCCTTGTCTCTGCTACAAGCTCCTCTGAAATTACCTATGAGCTAAGAGAGGGAAACAAGGACGGTGTTTTCTCTATGAACTCATATTCTGGCCTTATTTCCACTCAGAAGAACTTGGACCATGAGAAAATCTCATCTTACCAGCTGAAAATCCGAGGCAGCAATATGGCGGGCACATTTACTGATGTCATGGTACTTGTTGACATAATTGACGAAAATGACAATGCTCCCATGTTCTTCAAGTCAACTTTTGTGGGCCAAATTAGTGAAGCAGCTCCATTGTACAGTATGATTATGGATAAAAACAACAATCCCTTTGTGATTCGTGCCTCTGACAGTGACAAGGAAGCTAATTCCTTGTTGGTCTACAAAATTTTGGAGCCAGAGACCTTGAAGTTTTTCAAAATTGATCCCAGCATGGGAACCCTAACCATTGTATCAGAAATGGATTACGAGAGCGTGCCTTCTTTCCAATTCAGCGTCTATGTCCATGACCAAGGAAACCCTATCTTATTTGCGCCCAGGCCTGCCCAGGTCATCATCAATGTCAGAGATGTGAATGACTCTCCTCCCAGGTTCTTAGAACAGATCTATGAGGTAGCAGTGGTGGGGCCCATCCACCTGGGCATGCAGCTCCTCACGGTGCGGGCCAGCGACGATGACTCGGAAGTCAATTATAGCATCAAGACTGGCAATGCTGATGGAGCTGTGGCCATTCACCCCATCACTGGTAGCATATCCGTGCTGAATCCTGCTTTCCTGGGACTCTCTCGGAAGCTCACCATCAGGGCTTCTGATGGTCTGTATCAAGACACTGCACTGGTAAAAATTTCTTTGACCCAAGTCCTTGACAAAAGCTTACAGTTCGACCAGGACGTCTATAGGGCAACAGTGAAGGAGAACTTGCGGGACAAAAAGGCACTGGTGATTCTTGGTGTCCAGGGCAATCTCTTGAATGACACCCTTTCCTACTTCCTCTTGAATGGCACAGATACGTTTCGTATGGTCCAATCAGCAGGTGTGTTGCAGACAAGAGGAGTGGCGTTTGACCGGGAGCAGCAGGACACTCACAAGCTGGCAGTGGAAGTAAGGGACAATCGGACCCCTCAGCGGGTGGCTCAGGCTTTGGTCAGAGTCTCTGTTGAGGATGTCAATGACAATCCTCCCAAATTTAAGCATCTGCCCTATTACACAATCATCCAAGATGGCACAGAGCCAGGAGATGTCCTTTTTCAGGTGTCTGCCACTGATGAGGACTTGGGGACAAATGGGGCTGTGACATATGCATTTGCAGAAGATTACACATATTTCCGAATCGACCCCTATCTTGGGGACATATCACTCAAGAAACCCTTTGATTATCAAGCTTTAAATAAATATCGCCTAAAAGTCATTGCTCGGGATGGAGGAACCCCATCCCTCCAGACTGAGGAAGAGGTACTTGTCACTGTGAGAAACAAATCTAACCCACTCTTTCAGAGTCCTTACTACAAAGTCAGAGTGCCTGAAAATATCACACTCTATACCCCAATTCTCCACACCCAGGCCCGGAGTCCAGAGGGCCTCCGGCTCATCTACAACATCGTGGAGGAAGAGCCCTTGACACTGTTCACCACTGACTTTAAGACTGGTGTCCTATCTGTAACAGGGCCCTTGGACTATGAGTCTAAGACCAAACACGTGTTCACAGTCAGAGCCACAGACACAGCTCTAGGGTCATTTTCTGAAGCCACAGTGGAAGTCCTGGTGGAGGACATCAATGATAACCCTCCCACATTCTCCCAATTAGTCTATACCACTTCAGTCTCAGAAGGCTTGCCTGCTCAGACCCCTGTGATTCAACTCTTGGCTTCTGACCAGGACTCAGGGCAGAACCGTGATGTCTCTTATCAGATTGTGGAGGATGGCTCAGATGTTTCCAAATTCTTCCAGATCAATGGGAGCACGGGGGAGATGTCCACACTTCAAGAGCTGGATTATGAAGCCCAACAACACTTTCATGTGAAAGTCAGGGCCATGGATAAAGGAGATCCCCCACTCACTGGTGAAACTCTTGTGGTTGTCAATGTGTCTGACATCAATGACAACCCCCCCGAGTTCAGACAACCTCAGTATGAAGCCAATGTCAGTGAGCTGGCAACCTGTGGTCACCTGGTTCTTAAGGTCCAAGCTCTTGACCCTGATAGCAGGGACACCTCCCGCCTGGAGTACCTGATTCTTTCTGGCAATCAGGACAGGCACTTCTCCATTAACAGCTCATCAGGAATAATTTCTATGTTCAACCTTTGCAAAAAGCACCTGGACTCTTCTTACAATTTGAGGGTAGGTGCTTCTGATGGAGTCTTCCGAGCTACTGTGCCTGTATATATCAACACCACAAATGCCAACAAGTACAGCCCAGAGTTCCAGCAGTATGTTTATGAGGCAGAATTGGCAGAGAATGCAAAGGTGGGAACCAAGGTGATTGAGGTGCTAGCCATAGACAAAGACAGTGGTCCCTATGGCACTGTAGATTATACTATCATCAATAAGCTAGCTGGTGAGAAGTTCTCCATACACCCCAGTGGCCAGATCACCACTCTGCAGAAACTGGATCGGGAAAATTCAACAGAAAGAGTCATTGCTATTAAGGTCATGGCTCAGGATGGAGGAGGAAGAGTGGCCTTCTGCACTGTGAAGATCATTCTCACAGATGAAAATGACAACCCCCCACAGTTCAAAGCATCAGAGTACACCGTGTCGATTCAATCCAATGTCAGTAAAGATTCCCCAGTTATCCAGGTGCTGGCCTATGATGCAGATGAAGGTCAGAATGCAGATGTTACATACTCAGTGGACTCAATGGAGAACCTGGCTGAAGAGGTCATTGCAGTTAACCCAATCACTGGTGTGGTCAAGGTGAAAGGGAGCCTAGTGGGATTGGAAAACCAGACTTTTAACTTCAAAATCAAAGCCCAAGATGGAGGCCCTCCTCACTGGGACTCTCTGGTGCCAGTAAGACTTCAGGTGGTTCCTAATGAGGTATCTTTGCCCAAATTTTCTGAACCTCTGTATACTTTCTCTGCATCTGAAGACCTTCCAGAGGGGTCTGAAATTGGGTCTGTTAAAGCAGTGGCAGCTCACGATCCCGTCATCTACAGTCTAGTGCAGGGCACCACACCAGAGAGCAACAAAGATGGTGTCTTCTCCTTGGACCGAGACACCGGCGTCATACAGGTGAGGAAGCCCATGGACCATGAGTCCATCAAATTGTACCAGATTGATGTGATGGCACATTGCCCCCATAAAGACACTGACTTGGTGTCCTTGGTCTCTGTCAACATCCAAGTGAAAGATGTCAATGACAATAGGCCTATATTTGAGGCTGATCCATATAAGGCTGTCCTCACTGAGAATATGCCAGTGGGGACCTCAGTCATTCAAGTGACTGCCATTGACCAGGACACTGGAAGAGATGGCCGGGTGAGCTACAGGCTGTCACCAGACCCTGGTAACAATGTTCATGAGCTCTTTGCCATTGACAGTGAGAGTGGCTGGATCACCACACTCCAGGAACTAGATTGTGAGACTCGCCAGACTTATCATTTTTATGTGGTAGCTTATGACCACGGACAGACCATCCAGCTATCTTCTCAGGCCCTGGTTGAGGTTTCCATTACAGACGAGAATGACAATCCTCCCCGATTTGCTTCTGAAAACTACAGAGGATCTGTGGTTGAGAACAGTGAGCCTGGCGAACCTGTGGCCACTCTGAAGACCCTGGATGCTGACATCTCTGAGCAGAACAGACGAGTCACCTGCTACATCACAGGTAAGGACACCTATCATGGATGGTAGGCACTAGTATGCATTGAAAAAATCCAGTAAGAGGTATCCTAAGACATGGGTTCAAGTTCTGACTCTGCCACTGATTAGCAGTGTGACCTTGGACAAGTCACTTACCCCTCTAGGACCTTGTTGCTTCATCTATAGACTTGGCATGACTGTTCCCATTCACCTCACAGGGATGCTGTCAGGATCTCTAATTTATAGAGAGGCCATATAAATTAGAAAGTGCTTTGCAAGAAGGATATCTTATTATTTTAGGTGGGATAGATGGAATAGAAGGTCTTACTCTAACTGCTGTCAATTATCTTCTGGAAGATGGAGGAGGCACCAGCAGTTGTGTGATCCATGAAAATTGTGCCAGGTGGCTGTCTTTATGGAAAGTGTCCTGCCCAGAGAAAGCTGTGGATGATAGAAAATGCTTCTTATTCAATCATAGGACCTAAATGTTATAGTGACAGCACTTCCTTAGATATGTATGACTCCAGCTCAATCCTCTCATTTTACATATGGGGAAACCAAAGCCCAGAGAGGGGAAGAATTTCAACCAAGATCACACTCTGAGCTTGTATCAGGGCTGGGATTAAAATCATACCCTACAAGCTGCTTTCCTCAGTAGATACATATTGTAGAACTAAATTACCTGCTCCCTATCCAATGGCTAACCCAGCCAACCAGTGTCCACGAGGGAGTTTCTTCACTTTTCAGTGGCCTTTTCCCCATCCCCAGATGCCATGTCATCCCATTTCCATAAAACACAGCTCCTTCTCTATCACAGCTGTCCAGTGGAGAGTTAAGGAGCCTGAAATTCCAACCAAGAACCAGAGATTCCTGAAGACAGGCAGGATCAGAGCTGCTTGATACACAGTCTTGGAAAAACAGAATCTTACCATCTTATGATACCAGACTCTTAAATTAAAACACAGAAGTCTTAAAAATCTCAGAATAATAGAATAATAAATGTCAATATATTATCAACTCTGGGAATAGTTCAATCTTGGCACTCTGGAATCTTAGAATCTCTAAGTGAGAAATCCATCTTCCCACACTCTAGTCAGTGATTAGCATCAAGGAGAGAAAGAGGACTTATAGACACACCTGGAGCTCCTACGGAACCTCCATGTAGCCTGTGTCCTTAGTAATAAAATAAAACCTCAGACTGTTTAGTGCTGTTGATCACTTCCCACCCCTCCACTGTTGAACAGCCATAGATATTAGAAATGTCTTGTATAGTATTGAAATTTGCTTCCCTTCCAACAAAGTAAGAAACCTGCCCCTTAACCATATATTTTACAGCAGAGCTTCTCACAGTGATAACTTCATTTAACGGGAGGACTTTGAAGTCAGAAGAGGCTTCATGACACCAAAAAACTGACTCAGGGTAGAATTGTGGGTTCCTAGTGAAGAGAGGAAATGTTTGCCCTTCCCAGCAATCCTTAAAGAAGTGTCAGGTGGGCAGCCATCTATGTATGATGCAAAGCCTTGTTCGTTCCTGTTGCTCGGTATCTGAAAGCTCTGCCCATCTTTTTAGAGGGAGACCCCCTAGGCCAGTTTGGCATCAGCCAAGTTGGGGATGAGTGGAGGATTTCCTCAAGGAAGACCCTGGACCGCGAGCACACGGCCAAGTACTTGCTCAGAATCACGGCGTCCGATGGCAAGTTCCAGGCTTCGGTCACCGTGGAGATCTTTGTCCTAGACATCAATGATAACAGCCCGCAGTGCTCACAGGTGAGAGCCTGGTGAGGGGTGGGGTGGAAGTGGAGGCGAGGAAGGTAGAATGAGGGGCAGGAGAAAGGAGCAGACCCAAGGTGCCATCTCTGAGGCTGGCCATCACTGACCTCTGCTGCCCTTGCTCCCCCCAGTTGGCTTCAGATTAGTGCCCTGGGGCAGGGACCATTCTAGGCAATTTCTTGGCTCCCTGTAGGGATATACCAAGCTGTTGAGGAATCATGGTCCACATCTCTCCCCCTACATTCTCTGCAAATGGCCACGTCTCCACAAAACATATCCAGAAATAAAGTAACATGCATTCTCCAAACATAGTCTGCCATGCCTAGTGGGCAACCCCTCCAGCACTCAGCTTGTTGACATGGCACTATTATCACATCCATCCATTCATAGGACCTGCCCCCAGACACAACCCACCCCCATGCCCATATATGCGTATCCCCATCTGCTTGGGTGATACGGCCCAGTGCAGGTGCCCTCCTGCTTATACATACACACAAACATGCAGGCAGGGCAGTTACATTTGGTGAGGGACACTTTCCTAAGGACCTCATGTAACTCAATCCTAAATTTCCCATAGGAACAAATGTTGAGTGGTGTGTGTGTGTGTGTGTGTGTGTGTGTGTGTGTGGATCAGGAGAGGAACTGTTCTTAGAGGGCATAAATCCATAACCATTGTCAAGGAGCTTAGCTCTTAAACATATTTTTTAAAACACAGTAAGCAATTTTTAACTTTGGGAAGATTTGCATTATTCCAAATTTGTGGACAAAGTTAAACTGCTAACATTTTAATTTTATAATATCTCAAATTAGCACAATTCATATTATATAAAACCTAGTCATTCAGTATATATACGTAAACGCACACTTACACATACTCACACATACACACATACACAAAGGGTCATCTACAACCCTATATACGCGGGCAAATACCTATACAGATATATGCATAAGCATATACCTATGTACCTACGACATTCATCCATATACCCAGCCACAGATGCAAATGTATATATATAATTCACACAAACATACTTACATATGCATTTGCATATAAACAAACTTCGACTTATTTGCACACGCATGTATACGCATACCCTCATCACACATAAATACATATATCCCATCACCTTTTCTTCCTGTGCTCTTATACATGCCAGTCACATAAAAGCATAGTAAAAAAAAAAGAGAGCCCGGATTATCAGTGTGCATGGAAAATGTCTTTTCAGGATCCAAGATGACCACATTTTGGGTGGTCTCAGAAGAGCAGCCTTTTTGGGGGAGAACCTTCTTCCTCTTTCCCCTCAGCCATCCTTACCACAAGCCTCCATCCTCCCCACACCGGGAGAGGCTTGCACCCAGCTCACCCCGGCCTTCCCAGGCGTGGTCCACAGTGTCATTAGAGCCCAGGAAAAGAGGCCTGGGGAACCACCTCCACACAGCCCGCCCGGCACAAAGCTTCCACCCAGAGCTCGCCCACACCCTGCAGTGGTGGAAATCGGGATACTTAGAAGCTGGGCCCAGAGCCAGCCAATGAAGAAAGGTTGCGTTCTCAGGAAGCCCCAGCCTTTCCCTGTACCTCACCCCAGCAAGACACGAGGGTACCCGAAGTGCAGGGAGGGTGAGGCAGGCCATGGGGCTCTGGGGTCCAGACCTGACTCAAAGGCCAAGGGTCTGTCCTGGGGGTGTGGGCAGGGAGGTGAGCCTGACAGCGTGGCCTGCAGTAGCTTGAACTGACACCTTCCGGAAAGCCTGGTGTCAGGGCCATCTCACCCGCCTCATCCGGCAGCCGCAGGGGGACCCTGTAGAGGAGGCTATAGCAGGTCCTTTTAGCCTGGGGCGTGGGCTTTTGGTTGGTGGAACTTCTTTTTCGTTCTCCCTCTTCTGACTTGTTCTTTCATCATCATCTTCTTGTTCTTAACCTCCATTTTCTTTGCATGTTTCATCTTACTCTACTTCCCTCTGTTGCCCTCCCTCCCTTTCTCTGCTTCTCTTTCTTTCTCTCTTTCTCTCCTCTCTCTCTCTCCATGTCTCCCTCTCTCTGTCTCTCTGCTTCTCTCTGGATCTAAGTGCAGCTCCCACAACCTCCCTCTTCTTTGTCTTGCTACCTCCAGCTTCTCTATACCGGCAAGGTCCGTGAGGATGTATTTCCAGGACACTTGATTTTGAAGGTTTCTGCCACAGACTTGGACACCGACACCAATGCTCAGATCGCATACTCTCTGCATGGCCCCGGGGCACATGAATTCAAGCTGGATCCTCATACAGGTAGGTTTCCTGAGCTGTAGGATGGAGCCAAGAGCTTATTTACTGAATACCAAGCCCAGGGCCATGACAGGCCCTTGGAGAAGCAGCAGCAATTCACTTAACCATTCGTCCATCCGTCAGCAAACATACAGTGGCACTATTTGCCAAGCATTGTGCCAGATGCCGGGGACATAAACAATAGACGGAGAAGACAAGCTCTGGATATTTACAATCTAGTGGGAAATGGACTCATTGAACTAGTGGTTTGAAGCGTGCTGAGTTAAGAAATGCAGGGTGCTATGGAGATTTATTTTATTCTTTTTTTAGACCGGCTGACGCCTTGGTCTTCCTTCCTTCCTTCCCTTCTTTTTTTGCCATGTTGATACTTGACAGCAGAACTTGATGTGGGCTGGGGAAAGGGGTTAAGTAAAACACCATTTTATGTGAGACTTGAGGACACAGAGGATTTATCCAGGGGTAAAGGAGTGGCAGGAAAGGGCATTCAAGGCAGAAGGAGAATTTATGCAAGGACCCTGTTTTGGGAAAGAGTATGCATATCTGAGGACCTGACAGAGGGCCAGAAACTGGTGCCCAGAGAGGAAGGAGAGGGCAAAGGATGAGGCCCTGGGGCAGGCAGTGCCAAATCTCACCTTTAGAGCCATGGAAGGCCTCAGGCAGGTCTGTGTCATGGTCAAGGACATGATCTCAAGGTATCTATGCCGCAAACTGGGCATGAAACCTCACAGTACTGTGGTGAGGATCACAGATAATAAAGCAGATGGAAGCCCAGCGCAGGTCTGACGTGTAGTAAGAGCCCAGTTGCTATTGTCATTGTTGCTAGTTAGTTAGGGGACAGGGCAGAGAGTGGAAGCAGAGAGCCCTGCAGGCTGGGCTGTGAATACCCAGGAGAGGCTGGGCTGTAAGAGTCTGGTGGAAAGGACTCCTTTGGAAGAGCAGCCCACCAGGGTGGGATTCCTGCCCCACTACCATAGGGGAAGGTGTCAGGGTGGGCAGCACAGCAGGCCCAGATCACAAGGGCCAGCTGCTAACACTTGGCTTGGATCCAGTAGCTCAGAGGATAACTTGGAGATTCCTGATCAGGGGGGTGGTGGGGAAGAGTGGCATCCCAGGAAGCTGTCTGGGTGGACAGGAGACGACGTTGTCCTTCCTGACCCCAGCATGGGTGTGTTGAGTGACCCAGGCGGGTTACCTAATCTCTCTCTGCTGCTTATTTGTTCAGCTGCAGGATGACCAGTGAGGCTTAAAAAAAAAAAAAATGAGCATTTTTTTTTTCTGAATATGGAAATAATATATACTCATGGTATAAAATTCAAAGAATGCAGGCATGTATTATGCAGAAACTGCAAAGTCTGCATAATAACCCACTCCCCCAAAGACAAGAACTCGTGGTGTGTATTCTGTTAGACTGGTTTTCTGTGCATCTCCAAAATCTCTGTATAATGTTTTCATGAAAACATAATACTATTTTGTAACTTGCTTTTCTTCACTTAGCGATATTTTGAAACTCCATCATAATTCGTTTTTGGTTACATGGTATTTGACTGTATAGTTAAATCACAATATACTTAACCAATCCCTTTTTGAAAGACATATAGGACGATTTCAATACATTGCTATTATAAACACTGCTGCAAAGAATATACATACATATATTTTTATCTTTGGGTTAATTATTCTGTAAGATATATATATATATATATATATATAATGTTCCTAGAAGTGAAATTATAAGCCAAAAAATAAACACATTTTATATGCTGTTAGAAATTGCCTAATTGGCCTTTAAAATGCTGTGCCTATTTGTAGTTTGTTGGTGATCTTAAACTGGTGATGGTAGTGATGGAATGTGTTTGGGAGAATTAGGGAGGTGGGTGGGTATGGAGGGATACAGGCTGAGATCTTTTCTCACTGTGTTGACCCCTTATTGCTGTGACAAAACTCTCTGTAGCTGGGGCTGTCTCTCATAGCTAACTAGAGGGCACATGCTAGGGTAATGTCCCCTAGAAAAAGCTCAGCTTCTGTCACTTCTCCGGCCAGGGGAGCTGTCCACACTCACAGCCCTAGACCGCGAGAGGAAGGATGTGTACAGCCTTGTTGCCAAGGCAACAGATGGAGGTGGCCGCTCATGCCAGGCAGATGTGACTCTCCACGTGGAAGATGTGAATGACAACGCCCCACGGTTCTTCCCCAGCCACTGTGCTGTGGCTGTCTTTGACAACACCACAGTTAAGACCCCAGTAGCTGTGGTGTTTGCCCGGGATCCTGACCAAGGTGAGTCTGAGAAGGGTTGGAGGCCACTTCCCCTGTTCCCCTGTTAGCTGCTCAGTCACTTTGGCAAGGGTCTGGCTCTCTCTGTGTTTCTCTGGGACTGGCAAGGACTGTGCTTCCTTGTTAAATCTGTGGACACTTAAAAGTGGAAAATGTCCACCAACTGCATACCTAAGTGCTGTGTGACAAATGACTTTAGCAATGCAGGTGCGAGGCATTTCAGCCTCATTGTTTCTTCCCTCTCACTTACACCTGGGGACCTTTCAATACTGTCATTTAACTTCAAAGTTACTTTGAACACAAACATTTAATCATAAATATACCAATCAGAATTATTCAACTCTGACTAATTGGCCACAGGGAAGGAACTTTTTGGTACAAACTTCATTAAACCCATTAAATTCCTTGATCAGGCTGGGCGCGGTGGCTCACACCTCTAATCCTAGCACTTTGGGAGGCCAAGGCGGGAGGATCGCTTGAGCCCAGGAGTTTGAGGTGGCAGTGAGCTATGATGATGACACTGCACTCTAGCCTGGGTGACAGAGAGACGCTGTCTCTAAATTAATTGATTAATTATTCGATCAATTTTCTGTACAGTGAAGTTGAACCATCTTCAATATTTTGCATTTTAATTTTGATGACATTATTTTCATGGGTTTCCTTTTCCTTTCCTTTTAAAATTT